TTGGGAGGCTGAGGCAGGAGAATGGCGTGAACCCAGGAGGCGGAGCTTGCAGTGAGCCGAGATCGCCACTGCACTCCAGCCTGGGCGACACAGTGAGACTGTCTCAAAAAATAAATAAATAAATAAATAAATAAATAAAGTATTAGCAGAAAATAAGCACTCCCTAAGTGTTAACTATGAGGATCATGAATGAGTTTGTGTGTTCTTGCGAGCAAGTGCACAGGAGTGTTTGTGTGTGCCTCAGTTTCCCCATCTGCCCAACCAAAGGCCAGCATGTGCTCCCTGCAAGCCCCTGACTGTGTGCCTCTTCTAAGATCCCCTGCTCCATTTTCTTTTTCTTTTCTTCTTTTTTTTTTTTTTTTTTTTGAGACGAACTCTTTCTGTCGCCCAGGTTGGAGTGCAGTGGCGGGATCTCAGCTCACTGCAACCTCCGCCTCCCGGGTTCAAGCGATTTTCCTGCTTCAGCCTCCCGAGTAGCTGGGACTACAGGTGCCCACCACAACACCCGCCTATTTTTTGTATTTTTAGCAGAGACGGAGTTTCACCGTGTTGGCCAGGCTGGTCTTGAACTCCTGACCTCAGGTGATCCACCCGCCTTGGCCTCCCAAGGTGCTGGGATTACAGGTGTAAACCACCGCGCCCGGCCCCCAGCTCCATTTCATTCCCCATGTTGAGGTCAATGTGGAGGCTTTTAGGTGCCTGGAAACCCCCATGCCAGGCAGCATCCTGAGAACGGGAAGTGGAGGCTGCATGTAGGGAACGAGCTAGGAGAACTGTAGGACCTCCCAGCAGACTGAAGAAGGCCTGGCTTGGACACCTGGGTCCCTGTCTTCTGTGTGAGGTGCTACAACCCCTCAGTTCCCATTTATGATCTAATGGGGAGCTTGGATGTCAGGGTTCCCGTCCCTGCGGCGGGGGATGGAGATAAGACGCCAGGATCCTGGTCTCTGGAGCTCCTTAGAGGGCTGGATCCTGGTCCCTGACGAGGGAGGAGTATGTCCCCCTTGTAGGGCGGGTTGGGTTTGGATGCGAGGTCCCAGCCCTGTGGGGGGAGAGTGTGCTGACACCCAGGGTTCTCTCGCGGAAAGGGAGGG